GGATAACAAAAATCCAGTTATCTAACCACGTGGGCTAAAGCAGAAACGTAACTATATCATGATCTGAGTAACAGCTAGATGGGCTGCTGAAGAAATGTTTCGAGAGCTCTGGACAAGGATGGGTGAAAGGCGACGTTTCCCTAACTTTTCCCAGACGAAGAATCACCTCACTGCCCTTCACAAAGGCTTCTGAAACAAACGTACTTCCAGACTGAGTGGGAGGCCTGGGAATCTGCATACTTCGCCAAAGTGATTCTTATCTTCGGGGAAGTTTTACAAACAGGGCTGAGGAAATTCTCCAGGCCCAGGCCCACCAGCATCACACAGCGGTAGGGCTGGCTGTGGGGTGTGCCATCCTGGACCCCATCTCTCACCCTCCCCTTAGTCTTCGCAGGCGGGGAGGGGAGATACCAGCACATACCTGGTAAACCGCTGGACGGGGGTCCAATCCTTGGCATCGGGGAAGCAGAACTGGGGGATAGCCTTCAGCTGGTCCTCAGCCTCTCTCATGAACTTGAAAGACCTTTCCAGCTGCAGCGGGAGGGTGAGAGAAGGGTGGGGAATAAAAACCATCGGCACAGGAGCGTGAGGCAGAGGGATGGCAAGACCACATCCCCCCCTTCCTACAGACTGACCGCCACCTTCGACTGCTCTCTGGGGAAGGGCTGGCAGCTCAGTCTGCTGGGGCCTTTTTCCCCTTGGGCAGTTCTAAGTATGGTCTCACGGGGAAAGTCAAGAGAAAGTAACAATGTGCTTTAGAGAAATGGTCTCAATGCCTAACATTCTGGAATATAACTATTTTAATCAATAAGCAAAAGCTGTCATAGCAATCCCTTCCAAGCAGGAGACTCATACATCCGTAAGGCCAAGTCTTGAATCAGGGCGTCCGGTCCCTGGGCCCAGGCGAAGCTGCCCCTCCTGCATCCAGGCAGAGACAGTTACCGCACTTCTTGGTGAATACACCCAGTTACATCAGATCACACAGCGAAATTCAGCTCGTTTCAGAGTCCCTGACTATCAGAACTAGGGGGAAACTAGACATCATCCAGCCCTACATTCTTATTTTGGAGATAAGGAAATAAACCCTGAGATGTTAAGTTATTTGTTCATGATCACACAAGCATGGAACCTAGCTAGGAATAAAAATGATCTTAATCTCTATCTCTCTCTGATTTATCTGACAGCATAGACTGGGAGAATATCATCTTATTTAAAAAACAGAATGAATTAATAAAGTCCGATTTAGAGATTCTATTTAAAGCCATGAGTTTGCTTATTTTGTGTATGAACAGATATTTGGGATTTTTAAAGAGGCACCTCCACCCTGGGGATCTGTTGTACAACCACGTGTCTGTAGCTGACAATATTGTACTGTATGCTTGGAAATGCATATTTTATGTTATGAAATATGCATTTTACGTTATGTGTTTTATTGCCACTATTTAAAAAAAAGGCACTGTGGGTATAAGTTTGAGAAACAAAAAAGAATGATTTACAATGATCGTAGTTTGCTTATAAATTGGTACTTTTAAAGTGTTGGGAAGAATTGTTGGCTTTTCGTGTTTTTGCCATTATTGATAAGTTTATACTTGTTAAATTTCCTTCATAAACAGTTACAGAAAAGTAAATTATGCTAAAGTTACCTTCAGTAATTTGAAATATCAGATAGTTGATGTGAGTGGAGTGTGAATTTCAGAAGTTAGGAAATTGCAATATATAATCTAAATTCTTTCCGTAATATTTCTATCAATTTATTTGGTTCCTCATAGCTGGCCACTGACCTTCACTTTTAGCCAGCCTTGCAGAGAGTTTCTGAGAGTTCCTGCATTCTGCAGGCCAGCAGCAGTACTGTTGACCGCTTCACAGAGGATCTACAAGACTTCCCAAGGCCACCAAAAGTCAGAGAGAAAGTCTATGATGACAGCATCCAAAGGAACAGAGTACGGGGCTGATTGTTTTCAACTTTAAAATCCACCTCTCGCATGATTCCCTTAGGCTAGATCAAATTTAATTAAAGCTGCTGCTAATATACTAATAGTTGAAACACCTATCAATGAATGAAACACAGTCTCCATTTTATAGGCTTAAAGCCAGCCATTAATTGTCCTTTAGTTTTTCATTTTTAGAATAAACAGTCACCATTTCTTTTCCATGTAATGGTTTTCTTCCATCCATGACCCAGAAGATTCCAACTGGTCCTGGAACGGTCTTTGAGTTGACAATTCACTGGCTCAGACTGTTGCCAAAGCAACAATTTCTGACTGCCCTTAATAGGCTTGCAGAAAAGCGAATACTGACTGGTATTGTTGTTTGGGGGTCATTACTCTCCACCTGAGTGAAGGACTTCGAACCGTAAAAAATACAAAAGGAAGAGACAGTGACATTTCTCCAGAGTGGAAACAGCCTTGGAGAATTGAAGAGTAGGCCTTGCAAGGATGTGAGTTCAAGTACTTTTCAACATGGCCCAGCCCCCATTTGGATGCAGCCGCTCCCAGATAATTTGCATGATACACACAAACGTGTGTGTGCACATACGCCTGCACACACTGACATCAACATGTGAGTAACCAACCCATATGCGCACATACGGGCTCTCTTATGCGGCACATTTACAGGAAGGAGCATGTAGAGATCTCTTGCGAATACAACTTATGTCATAGATGGCTAGAAAATATCCCAGTCCCCAGGAATCGTCATAAAGATAATTGCATGATAGCAAACATTTTATGGAATATGACAGGCATGATTTCTAACATGCAAGTATGGACTATGAACCTTGATTAAGGCAACTATAAGAATGGGGCATAAAACTCATGAAAAAGAGTTAGAAAAGAGAAGGAGAAAGGAGGGGGACAAGGTCCTTCTGACAGAGGGAACACGCAAAGGCAGAAGACAGAAAAGAGCCTTGCATGCAAAATGCACGTACAGAACGCTCACCATTAACATTAAAAATATATCTAAAGAAACAAGGGCGGCAAGATACATTTCCAGCAGAAGGAGAGTAGTTAACTGACAGGTCAGGGCACACCCACTAATGGAGCATTATGTAATTTAAAAAATAACATTTTAGAATTTGTATTAAATATGTCTATAAATAATGATAGGTTTACAAAAAACATGACGCAAAAATTATACAATGCATGATCTTAGTTTTGTAAGAAAATCGTACTACGAGAAAAGTCTGGAAGAAAGCACAATAAAATGCTAACAGTGTTGCCCTTTGTGGAGTGGGATTATAAATGACTTTTTTCTTTATACATTTGTGGATTAGTCTCCTCTTCAATGGTGACCATGCAACTTTCCACTCAAAAAAGTTTTAATGTGGATGTCTAGGAGTCTGGAGAGTCCAGGCTAGAAACTAGCATTCAATAGCTATGCAGGTTCATTAATTGACTAATTCACGAATTAATGTCTTCATTCCAGGAACATTGATTAAGTACTGCCCTGTGCATAACACCGGGCTAGGCCTCGAGGGGAGTAAACAGGGCGACAGGACAGTCCTTCTTGCCTTGGTGCTCGCTCGGTGTGGTTCGCAATTGCACTGTGAGTCAGCGTGAGCATAACCAGCAGCCTCTCTTAACCAGGGGGCAACTCCCTAAATCCGGGCATGCCCATGGCACTGGGGTTTTCAGGGGGTCACCCCTAGAGGTCAGCCGGACAACGATGACTACGTGCCAGTTGGGAGGGCTGGCGCCTGGTTGACTGCATTTATGTTTAGTTTCCATCCTAGACTCCAAGGACAGGATTTGGCTGCTGTGCTGAACCTCTGCGTGCAGGATAGGAGGAAGGCTGGTCCGGGAAGGGAGGGGCAGCTGGGCCGAGGCCTCTGTAGATGCCAGGATGATGCTCGGGTGGTGACGGCAAAGGGAGGCGCTGAGGGGGCCAGTTCCCTCCCCGCTTTCCCTTCTCTGAACACACTCAGGTTTGTATGCATCTTACAGAGTGTCACATGCCACCTGGTGGATCCAGGTATGCTTATCTGTGCCCTCCCGTCAGAGTGTAAACTCCTTGAGGACAGGAAACACATTTCCTCTCTCTGAGACCCCTGGGGCCAGGTGGAGAAGAGCCTGACTGTACGGGTCTCGGTCAGCTCTGCTTCAGCAGGGTTGGGACGTGGCGGCTCCGATGGCATGGATGCCGGTGCCTCAGAGCAGCTCAGCCGTTGCTGGCCACACCACCTGGGGCTTCATCTGGCGCAACCACCATTTGGGTGCAATGACTTAATGCATGGCAGATCTCAAGCCCTGTCGCCACGGACGCTGTTAGCATAGGGTTCTCGTGTATGTGCACACACGGAGGTGCACAGTGCACGCACCGATATTGGCCGTGGACACAAACGTGACACTCCTTAGGGAGAGCTGTGTGGCTCGATGAGAAAGAGGCTTCAGGACAGGCTGAGAAGAGATGCAGCTGGATAAGGAGAGGGGGAGGGCTAAGAAGATGGCGTGGTCGGCACAGTGACCAAGGAAGTGAGTGACTATTTCTGTCCATACCCTGGACTCTCACCTCCTGGAACCTCCCAACTGCTCCAGCAGCAGGCTTTTCACTAGACACACCCTAATTAGGACCCGGTTTTGAGATTCTAGACACCGAGTGTTCCTCAGACTCCCACACCTCCCTGAATCCAACAAGGCCCTGGCGAGCTGCAGAGGCCAGGCCCACCCTGTACCTTCAGAGGAAACTGCTGGGTGAGTTCTGGCACGTAGGTGGCCCCAGCCTGCTTCTTGTGCAATGACACAACCACGAAGTACTCGAAGAGCTGCCTCTGCTGGTACTCGACGAGTTCCCGGTCAAAGGACGGGTATCTTGGAGCCTGCTTCAGGCGGGACTTCACATTGACCAGGCGCTGGCTGTGTGCTGGAGAGAGAGAGAGATGGAGAGAGATGGAGAGATGAAGACATGGAGAGACGGAGAGGTGGAGAGAGGGAGGGAGGGAGGGAGCGGGCCTGAAAATGACTCGTTTTCCAAAACTGCTCCAGCAGCAGGCTCTTCACTAGACACACCCTAATTAGGACCCGGTTTTGAGATTCTAGACACCGAGTGTTCCTCAGACTCCCACACCTCCCTGAATCCAACAAGGCCCTGGCGAGCTGCAGAGGCCAGGCCCACCCTGTACCTTCAGAGGAAACTGCTGGGTGAGTTCTGGCACGTAGGTGGCCCCAGCCTGCTTCTTGTGCAATGACACAACCACGAAGTACTCGAAGAGCTGCCTCTGCTGGTACTCGACGAGTTCCCGGTCAAAGGACGGGTATCTTGGAGCCTGCTTCAGGCGGGACTTCACATTGACCAGGCGCTGGCTGTGTGCTGGAGAGAGAGAGAGATGGAGAGAGATGGAGAGAGATGGAGAGATGAAGACATGGAGAGACGGAGAGGTAGAGAGAGGGAGGGAGGGAGCAGGCCTGAAAATGACTCGTTTTCCAATGCGGAATTGCACAGAGCCGCAACAGGTGATGTTACTCCCAGCTCAAAGTGCTTTTTCTAATCCTAAAAAAGTGTTCTCGCATTTAACAAATTAGTATGAGCTCTTTATTTGGGATCGTTGCCAAAATCCTGAGAGGAGCAACATTCAACAGGCCACCAGGCCTGTTGGGGTGCAGGAACCTGGGGTGTGGGGCCTCTGGGGTGCAGGAACCTGGAGTGTAGGGCCTCTGCTCCGCCATAGGTTTGCTGTCTGGACTTGGGGCAGTGCTGGGAGTAACCTGTATTCCTCTGTCACATGGGGCGGTGACACCGACTCCTCCCTACTCCTTTCCTTCCTCTTTCAGTTTGTGGGATGTGACAAAGTCCAAACTGTAAAGCTCTGGACCCGGGAGTTTTGGAAACATCTGCCAGACTCAACGGGCAGAGACCCGTTTAACTCCATAATGCCTTCTCCCGTGCCACCGACCTGTACGGTGGCCATGGACTTGCTGCATTCTAGAGGCAGGTCAGAGAGCGGCCGAGGTGGCCGAGGCGGGGCCACTGGGTGGACAGGTCCCCATCACCTCACTCAGCAGACCGGACTTTGTCTTTCTTTGGTTTCCCCCTGGGCTCTGAGAAATTGTGGAAAACTCACTGAAGTCTGACCTAAATTGCTGAATTTCGATCCATGGGGACCAATTATTTTAACGACTTCATATGACAGAGGAGGAACCCCAGGCTCTGAGTTCTTAAGTGATTTCTCCAGATCATACGGACATTTTAACGGAAGTAGGGCAGGAGCCCCATGTGTTGGAGTCCCAGGCCAGCGGTGTTGCACCTTACACAGGTGTGCAAACACCTGTGACATAAGGAAAGGCATGGGAACAGAGAGTCTCTGGAGCAGAACAGGCCCATTCTGGTCCTGTTCGTGTTCAGGACTGACCTTCCCCTGGGCACCATTGTCCCCTCAGACATTTGTGTCTTGCCTGACAAACTCGCGCCAGGACGCTCTGTCCCACCTGCCGCTTGTGAGGAGAGGCACTGCGAGGCAGCGGGGCCGTGCGGGA